CATCAAGGTGTTGGATCACAAAGGAGTACCAGAAGCCATACAGAAGCTTTGTGGTGTGACAGGACATTATGCAAGGTTGTGGGGACCAGTGTGTGTGTAACTATTGAGCTCATGGGCATGAAGAACAGACACAAAGTGTACTTGGCTGACATTGAAGACCAATGCATATTAGGGTTGGACTACTTACTACTGAGGAAGTGTGTAGTTAACTTCGATAAAAATACGATTGGGAACAACAAAGGCCAAATTCCGGTAAGTGTTAAAAGAGAGGTTGAACTAACCAGGTGCCATCAAGCTGAAGTCAAAGTGACTGAAGGAGTTAATGATGGTGAAGTGGAACCAGGTACAGATAGTAAAGCAGAGCAGGAGAAAGACCAAGATTTGAAGCCAATAATTGATTTTCTATTAGCAAGTGTTTTGTGCCCTGTGAAAAAAAACTATTGGGCACAATGGGACCAATTCAAGCTTGATGATGGTATTCTTGTCCGGATATGGAAAAGTGACGACCGAGGAAGTTACAGGAAGTTGTGTTGCGTCAATCCCATGATAGTTTAACAGGAGGACATCTTGGAGTTAAGAAGACATTGAGTCACCTATGGCAGAGATGTTACTGGATAGGTATGAGGCAAGATGTGGAAGAATGGTGCAGGACCTGCAGTAAATGTTGTGCAAAAAGGGGACAAAAGCATAAGGGATGTGCTCCAATGAAGCTATATCAAGTTGGCGCACCAATGGAAAGAGTAGCCATTGACATTTCTGGTCCTCTGCCTCAAACTCGTGTTGGAAACAAGTACATCTGTGTGGTGATGGATATTTCACCAAGTGGCCTGAGGCATATGCAATACCAAATCAGGAAGCTACAACTGTGGCTTCAGCTATTAGTGATTTCTTCTTCAGATTTGGTATGCCATATGAACTGCATTCAGATCAAGGCCGTAACTTCGAATCAGCTGTGTTCCATGAATGCTGCAAGTTGTTTGGCATCCAAAAGACCAGGACAACGCCACTTCACCCGCAGTCCGATGGGATGGTAGAAAAGTACAATTGGACACTGGGATAGGAATTGGCAAAGTTTAGTAATAGCCACCAAGATGACTGGGATGTCTTACTCCCTCCACTATTGATGGCCTATAGAACAGCAGAGCATGAAGCCACTGGATACACTTCAACAAAGCTGATGTTTGGTTGGGAACTTCGGTTGCCAGTAGACCTGATAACATGACGTCCACCTTTCAAAGAGTTGCCTGAAATTGTGCCAGAGTTCGTGAAAATGTTATCTGAAAGGATGGATGATATTCACCATCAAGCGTGTTTAAACTTGAAAACGTCTGCTGATTCAATGAAGTTATCTTATGATAAGAGATCTACTGAAGTCAGCTTTGTACCAGGAACAAGGTGTGGTTGTATAATCCCAGGAAGACCAAAGGGAAGTCTCCTACGTTGTCTTCTCCATGGGAAGGCCCACATGACATAGTGGATCGTCTCTCAGACGTGACTTACCGTATAAAATGTGGTCAGCGAGGTAAGCCGAAGGTGGTGCATGCCAACAGGATTTGGCATTATCAAAGTCCAGGACATTTCAGTTGGAACGAAGTGAACAATGGAACAAATGACACTGCTGAAGACGTGTCACCTGAAAAAGCCAATGTCGAGGAAGAAACTCTACCCGGTTTTGAGAAGGAAAACAGTGAAGCCATTAATGAAGTTACTACCACTGATGTGAATGCTACTGATAATGGAACATTTCCTGATGGAGCAGATGAACCCCACGTGAAGCAAAAGCCAATAAGAAGGAGACCAATACGAAAGAGGAAACATCCTGTAAAATTAAGAGACTTTGTTGTATTTTAATTTTGTGTTTGTAAATTCTG